TGAGTGGACATTTTTTACAACAAAATATTGCTTGTGTACCGGTTTGTCGTTTTCGATTTCCACAAGGTACAATTATTCGAGCTGGACAAACTATCACGGTTAATAGAAAAACCATTCAAATATTATTTAAGCATATTTTTATTGACAACTCTAATATGAACGTCAGAAATTTATCAACTGTAGAAAAAATATCGGATTTATGCTTACATTCCGAGAAACACTACGGTTCTCCACAGTGTCCCTTTGAGACCCAGCTTCGCTCCACATGCGCTCCAAATTGCTCTTCGAGAAAAAGCTTTTTATCAATTCTGTTGACTTCCTCAAGGCTTCATCAAATGCTTCCTTGAGTTTAGTTTCCAAAATTTCCTTAAATTCGGCTATAATTCTTTCATCACCGCCACGAATATCGGCCAGATCCTTCAAATCTTTGTCGAGAGCTTGGATTTCTTCCAATAATACTTTTTCCTCTACTTCAAGCCCATGGAGACGGAAATTAACTGCTTCGATTAATTTGTCGACCACATTTTTGCACGTATTAATGGCTGATTCTACGCATCTTTGTACTACTTGATCAAGTACGGAGTCAATAGCGGTCTTCAAGAAATCACCAATATTAGACTTTTCGAACAGACGATTCGCTATCTTGTCAACTTCCTCTGACTTTGTCTCCGTTAACATCTCTTCCCAATCAGAAGGGCAGTAAGCTTCAAGTACATCTTTTGCTGTTTCGGAGTTTTGAATATCAAGTTGATTTTTATTCTGCGGACTCTGTTGGTAATCGGCGAAAAACTTTTGAGCGATTAACGCATAGCTTCCACTCATTAGAAAGACATACTCTTGAGATACATCATAGAAATCGGCTACATGTTCTTTTAGCTGTGCTTTGGGGATGTCACGTCGCTTGTACTGATCGATTTTACTAACCAATACATAAACACAATTTCGATCACGTTTTAATTTACGAATTGTGTTGATATCACCCATTAGTTTATAGCCACTCTCAGTACCCAGATGGGTATATTCTCCAACAGTAAACACAAGGTCAGCTTCTTTCAATTGACGATCAACAAAATGGCTGAGTGCAGTACTAATACTAGCTTCGTCGGGTCCTGGTGTATCAATCAATACGAGTTGACAAGGTTGTTTCAATCTGTTCTTAGTATTCTGAACAGGACAGTTATTGACTGTTATCATCGGAGTATGAGTCTTGAAAACATCGGAAAATATCGATGAGTGCGATTCTTTAGGTGCAAGATACATAGATATACGCACCAAGTCGTTCAGGAATGTAAGCATAAATTCGATATTTTTTCTATCAGTGAATCGTCTGCAGCCATCGGGCTCTGTTTCGTCCCGTGCTTCCATGTCATTTTGTAATGAAGTCTGAAACCTGGCTGCGCATTCTGTTGAATCCCTCAGGTGCTTTGCTGTTTCCACCAGGTGAGCGTTTTTCACTAGAAATGATTCCAACTTCTCGTTGTCGTTGAATCTACTGTACAGCTCTTTTGCGACGCTTGATTGTAAAGTTTGAAGACCTTTTACAGTTTCCTTATCGAGTAATAGTTCTGCCAATGGAACATCGTTGGAAGGACTTTGTTCTAATTTTATAATTACTTTAGTCGGAAAAGCTGTCATAGGATTCGCACGTGTTGGTAAGAAATCTCCACCAATTAGAGCATTAATAATTGTAGATTTGCCGGCTTTTGATGATGCAATAATTGGGACTTTAATTTGAAGCTGGTCGAGTTTCTCTATTGCGTCTCTAATGTCTTGGATGTAGTCAACGGCATTTGCGCTTTGTGCTGTTGTGTTATCACTACTATATGTTAACTGTTCCCCAAGAGTTTTTATGGATTCTTCCAATAACTGAATAGAATTGTTTAGAAGTTGTTTTGTCTCTTTTTGCAGACGCTTTATTTCAGCATTTGTGGCATCCGTGTAATCTCTCGTTTGTGACTGAGCCGCGGACATCTTAATTGTGTGAATTTCGTTATTAATCTACAAATATCAGAACATATTACTGATTAAGACTTGAAAAGAACTGATCGATAATTGAGTATATATATAGTTTTACTGAAAAGTGTCCGTGGGACTTTTTAAAGTTATAAGTTTGTTTTTTTTCTGCAAAAGTGTATAGAAAAAAGATTTTACTTGA